CAGAAATTAAAGTAATAAGGTCTCTCTAGGTGAGAGTATTTAATGTAGGTAATCTGCTTTGCTAGCGAGATCAGCCGGTTATTAGTGTGTTCCGTAATGTTTCTCCTCCGTTCCGTTAATTATTCGGTCCCCCGATTAATGAGGATTAATCGAGTATTTATAGCCTTGGGAAGCGTGCAACTCTCTAGGTTTAAGGTAAACCTAGGGCCGATCGGGCTTCTAGACTGAAATGGGCCTTGATGGCCGGTTGTCCCATTTGGCATGGGTGGACACGTGGCGTGTCTTAAGTGGTCCGTGGAGGACGCGTGGCGGAACCTGGTTGGTCCACTTGTCAAACGGCGCTTGGTGGATAAAAATCCCCTAATCAGAAAGTTAGGCCAATTCAAAGGAAAAAAATAAAATCTGAAGGAAAATCAGAGAATTACCAAGAAGATCCAACACAATTAAACCTAAGATTATAGAAAATAAAACCTTAATTTCTCAAATATTAACCAATAACACAACAAATTCAAGCTAAACAAATTGAACAACCCTTGTAGAGAGATGTGGTTTCGCACAAATTCTTAGCAAACGAGCAATGAGAGCGAACGAGAAGAGAGAGAAAGCACGAGGAGAGAGAAAGATGCATTGTCGTTATTTTTTTGGATTTCAAATGACAGACTTTTATGCTGGATTTCAAATTAAAAAATAAACTTAAGTTTAAGTGGGTTGGAATTGGACCAATTCCAATTCTAAATTTTTTGGATTACCCAAACAAGGTGTTTGATCCAATTCCAGCATTTCAATGAAATGCTCCATACCAAACAGGCCATAATATAATTGTAAAATACCTCGAATCATGGAGTTTATATTGACTTATCAATTAGCTTACGAGAACTTATACCAACAACCTCAAATGTTAAGTACGTATATTTCTTTAATGAACATTTGGCAATTGTTAAGCCCAAAAAAAAAAAAATGTGCATTTTTCTAAAATGTATGTTTTGAGATGATATAAATCAGTAAATCATCCTTTATGTTCCCTATCCCTGAATAAATCGGAAACTGATAAGGAGAAAAACTCTAATGAACCATTCAAAAGTCGAAGAGGGATTGTGCTTAGTTAAGGCAAGTACATAACTAACCTAGTATATTACTCTGTATGTAAAAGTACATAGGCAAGTTATTATTATTATTATTATTATTATTATTATTTTGAAGAAAGTTATAATTTTTTTTTTTTTTTGAGGGAAGAAAGTTATAATTTATTATATAGATACATACGAAGTATTATTTATTTAGCAATAAAAGAAATGAGGCAATTTCTTTTCCATATATTCATTTTATTTTTATTCTTCTTAGGGACAGGTGTAGCCTTAAACTATAGATACTTGGGTACCAAGTAAACTGTTACCAAAGCATACATATCGGCAATAATCACTCTCATTATCCATTTTCCAAACTAAAAATTCATATAAATACTTACGGAGTATTTATTTTCCTAATAAACCCCACTTAAACCTTACCTTTGGGAAGAGAATTAACTCCGGAATAACCACAAGTTTCTTCACACATAATATACCACATTTCATTTCATTGAAATACAAACATCACTCTGAATTTCTCAAGGTTTGGACTCTATCTTTTTGTCAATTATTAGTTTGTTATTTAGTAAAAACTAAATTTATTTTGATTTTAAATTTTATTATATCTTATGATTTTTTAATGTTGTTAATTTTAAAATGAGTAGTAGTTTGATAACTTTGAATTGCTGTAATTTTCTATGTTTATAATAATATTCTTGCTTTAATCCAGAAAAACCAAAATAATGGTATATGAAGAGAAAAAGGGAATTATGAATATTTATTAACTTAAGTTGCGAATTCTATCATATATCCGGGTGTAGTTAAGATGTTGAAAGAAGGTACTTGCTAGATATGTATTGTACCATTTTTTGACATAATTTGTACAGGTACATGCTAGATATTTTATACAGTCGTATGCTGGTAAATTGACTAAATTCTAGGTAAAAAGTAGAGATATTTTATCACGGTAGTAAATCATCAATTGTTACATATGTGTTAATTTATCGTTTCATTTGTATACAAAATACTAGTAATCTGTATAAAAATGAAATTAGTTGTTCATATTGTTAGAACCTTGAGTTTAGAATAGAACAGCAACAATGGCGGAATTATGTGTTGGAAATCAAGAATTCCATTAATGAATTGAGAGAGAAATTACAGAGAAAAAGGAAGAAGAAAAAGTGTTTTTGGAGAATGAATTACTTAGCTTGAATTAAAGAAGAGACAGAGTATTTATATCTAGCTGACAAAAATACAACTATATTGCAATAAACAAAATACTGTAATAATGAGCTGGCAGCAGATGGTTGTAACTAATTTCCGTAATTAGTGGAGTTAATTACGTCTGACGTGGCATCTCCATGAGGTATCTCAACATCCCCCTGCAAGCTAGGCATGGGATTGAACATACCTAGCTTGGTCAGAAGCTCAGCAAAGTGGGAAGATGGCAGAATCTTCGTGAAAACATCTGCAAGTTGACCCTGAGTAGGAAGGTAAGCAAGTTCAATCAGCCCCTCAAGGACTTTGTCCCTTGTAAAATGCACATCTATCTCAATGTGCTTAGTTCGCTCGTGCTGAACTGGATTCTTAGCAATGTGAATGGAACTCTGATTATCACAATGAAGAGTGACTGATTTAAGACCTGTAACCCCCAATTCCTCCAAGATTCTGACCAGCCAGACAACCTCACCAGCAGCAATGGACATAGCACGATATTCAGCTTCAGCTGAACTCTTATAAACAGTAGATTGCTTCTTAGATTTCCAGCTGATAGGGGAGTTACCAAGCAACAAAACATATCCAGAAATATACCTCCTTGAATCCTGACAAGCTCCCCAATCAGAGTCTGTAAAAGCTTGCAGAGTAAGTGCATCAGAAGCACACATAAGAACACCTTGACCAATAGATCCTGCCAAATAATGCAGAACATGAAGAAGTGCCTTATAATGAGGAAGTCTAGGGCACTGCATGAACTGACTAAGGTGCTGAACAGTGAAAGCCAAGTCAGGACGAGTGTGAGTGAGAAAATTCAACTTCCCCACAACACATCTGTAGAAAACAGGATCATGAAATAAGTCCCCTTCATCAGCAGATAACTTAAGATTCAGAGGAAGAGGAGTAACATGAGATTTGCTGACATCAATGTTGCAGTCAGCCAGCAGCTCCTTGGTAAATTTCCTTTGGGAAAGAGTAATACCATTTGGAAGATAACCTATTTCCAGGCCCAAAAAATAACTCAACCTGCCAAGATCTTTAATGCTAAAAATCTTATCCAGATGAACCCGGAGCTGAGAAATACCAGTAACATCATCACCAGTCAGAATGACATCATACACTGCAGCCACAGTTAACAAGCCAGAATTCCACCTAATAAACAAGGAATAATCATCTTTGGACTGCTTGAACCCCAGAACAAGAAATTCACTAACAAGTTTGGCAAACCACTGCCTTGAGGCTTGCTTCAAGCCATAAAGAGACTTAACCAATCTGCAAACTTTCTGATCTGGATTTGGATAGCCCTCTGGAACTCTCATATACACCTCCTCATGAAGCTCTCCATGAAGGAAAGCATTATTAACATCCAGTTGAAAGAGAGACCAACCCTTGCAAGCAGCCAAAGCAATTATGCGTCTTATAGTTGTCATCTTGACAACAGGACTGAATGTCTCAGTGAAATCAACACCAAATTTCTGTGTGAATCCCTTGGCAACCAACCTTGCCTTAAACCTCTCAACGGATCCATCAGCTTTAAGCTTAATCTTGAATACCCATTTACAGCCTATAACTTTTTTTACCCTTAGGAAGATCCACCAAAATCCAAGTTCTATTATGTTCCAAAGCTTGGATCTCCTTATGCATTGCCTCAACCCATCTTGGATCTAGGGCAGCCTCTTTGTAAGAGATGGGTTCAGATAAAGACTCAGAAATAGCTATAGAAGCTTGATGAGTGAGAGGTAAAGCAGAAAACTGTATAAGATTACACCAGTGTGGTGTAACTTTATCAGAGAGATTACAATAGTAACCCTCAAGATACTTTGGTGGGTTTCGAGGTCTGCCAGACCTCTATAAAAGAAGTGGATCAAAAGGTACTAGAGGAGGAATAAGAGGAGTAGAAGAAGAATCTGTAGTGGAAGAAGAATAAGAAGAACCAAGGGAGGGAGTAGAAACAGAAGAAGAAATAGAGGAAGGAGAATGAGGTGGTAAGAAAGGTGGAGAAGAAGGTGGAGAGGAAGGTGGAGAATCCTGGTGAAATAATTCTGGTATTGGAGAATCATACTAAGAAGTAAAGGAAGTCACCATAGGAAGAAAGAAAGGATAAGGGTGTTTCCGTGGAGTAGAGTAGAAGTGAAAAAGGAAATGTTGTTCCTTAAAAACAACATCCCTAGAAGTGTGAATCTTGAAAGTATCCATACTCAACACTTTATAACCCTTTTGACCAGGACTATATCCAATGAACACATGAATAGAAGCCTTAGAATCAAACTTTGTTCTACCTTGTTTATTTGATGAAACAAAACAAAGACAACCAAAAGCTCTTAAGTAATCAAGATTAGGGGCAACACCAAACAATTTCTCATAAGGACTCTTATTGGATAGAATCTTCAAAGGCATTCTGTTGATAGTGTGTGCAGCACACAAGACACATTCATTCCAGTAAGTAATAGGCAGTTTAGACTGGAAAAATAAAGCCCTAGAAGTTTCCAAGAGATGTCTATGTTTACGTTCTACAACCCCATTTTGCTGTGGGGTGTCAGGACAACTCCTATGATGGTCTATGCCTTTCCTCAAAAGAAACATTTTCAAGTCTCCTTCACACAGTTCTTGAGCATTGTCTGTTCTAACACATTTGACAGAAGTTCCAAATTGATTCTCAACAAAAGATACGAAATTAGGAAAGACTGTAGACACATCAGATTTCAATTTCATGAAGAACACCTAAGACATCCTAGTATAATCATCAACAATGGTAAGAAAGATTCTACAACCATTATGAGTGACTTCTTTATAAGGTCCCCATATATCCAAGTGCAACAACTGAAAAGGAACAGTGGTTTTTATTGAACTAGAATGAAATGATTTCCTACTTTGCCTAGCAGCAGGGCATATTTGACAAAAAATATCACCTAAGCAAGGTTTATTATTGTCAAAAGGAAAAGAAGAGACATACTCTAGTTGCTCAACTGGAAGATGACCCATCCTGAGATGCCAGAGTTTGGTGTTATTGATAGTTTGTTCAGAAGCAGAAGAAACTGCAGCAACCTTATTCCCAGACTGAACTGAAACAGACTTCCTGGTCTCCACATCCTCCAAATGATATAAGCCCTTCTTCAATTTACCAAGAACTTGTGGCTGCATTGAAGAACTCTGAATGATACAAGTATCATTAGTAAAAGAAGCAGTACAGTTCAAATCCAAACAAAGTTTTGGAATAGATATAAGATTGAACTTAAAATCTTCTACATAGAGCACATCTTTTAGAATAATGTGTTCAGTTAATTGAACATCTCCTTTATGAGTAATATGAACTTGCTTTCCATCTGGAATTGTAATGAAATTATCATCACCAATGAAAGAATTCCAGGTTAAGAATAGACTCTTATCATGACTGATATGATCTGTGGCCCCATTGTCTATTATCCAACTGTTAAGGTTAGAGGATAATAGACAAAATTTACCTGCAACATTAGCAAATTTGCCAACATTAGCAGAAGAAGAGCTCTGTCCAACTGTACTGTCTGAAACTGGTTTATGTTGAATCAACATATGCATAATATGCTGAGTTTGATCAGCTGCAATAACCATTCTGCCTTGATCATCAAAAGTGTATTCAGGTACAGAATCATTAGATTGAAGAACAGCTGCAATTTTCTTGTTCTTATCATCATTCTTGAAATGATTAGGAGGATATCCATGCAACTTGTAGCACCTCTGCATGCTATGACCAGGCATCTTGCAATGATCACAGTATAATTGATTCCTCTCCTATCACCAGTATTATTAAAAGATCTCTGAGGTGCAGAATTGAACTGAGGCCTGTTATTATTGTTCCACCTGTCATTGAACCTATTTCTGTTCACAGCAAATGCCATAGCATCAGCAGAATCACTAGCAGAAGAAGGCCTAGGATCCTTGTACAACTGTATATGCTTTTCTTCTTGCATCAAGCATGAGATAGAAGAGGAAGAGGTTGCATCAACAAAATACTGCCTCTGACAACTTCAAAGTTATCATTCAGCTTCATGAGAAATTGTACCAAACGTTTGTCCTGCTGTGACTTCAATAACCTCTGAGCAATGAGACATGTACAGTTTGAACAATGACAAAAAGGCAAAGGATCAACATCATCAAGCTGATCCCAAAGTCTCTTGATCTTAGTGTAAAAGGTAGACACATTGTCAGCACCTTGAGTAAGTACATTAATAGCCTGCTCTAGAGAATACAACACAACACCAGAAGATGCACCAAAACGTTCCTAAAGGTTCAACCAAATTTCTCTAGCTGTGCTAAAATATAGCACACTTCTGTCCAGATTATGATCTAAAACTCCAAGGATCCATGAGATAAGCATACTGTTACACCTCCCCCAAGCTTTAAACTCAACAGATTCAGCAGAAGGTTTAACTATAGATCCATCAACAAAACCTAATTTGTTTTTAGCAGAGAGACTAATGATCATGGACCTCTTCCAGTCTCCATAACCATTACCATCAAACTTATCAGACACTAATCTCATCCCTGGATTATCAGAAGGATGGATGTAATAGGGAGAAGTAGGATCCTGAGAAACATCTAGAGGTCTGGACTCCATATTTGTTCAATCAAACGTAAACAACACGAAACAAATATGCTAGCTAGAAATCACAGCAATCGAAGAATACGAGAAGATGATCGATCGAAGAAATCAAAGAAATAACAGTAACAAACTCCAGCAACAATGAATTATGTAGAACAATCCACAAAAAATTCAAACCAGTACAACTAGTAGATGATCAATTGAAGAATAGAGAATAGTAACAAATGATCGAACCTCAAAGACGAAGAATCTGAAGAAGAAACAAGGCAAACCTCCAACGATTGAAGAGAAAAAAACTTCGGAAAATCGACGAACAAATGAAGAGCGAAATTGAAGCGCGAATCGATCTACACGAGCTCTGATACCATGTTAGAACCTTGAGTATAGAATAGAACAGCAACAATGGCGGAATTATGTGTTGGAAATCAAGAATTCCATTAATGAATTGAGAGAGAAATTACAGAGAAAAAGGAAGAAGAAAAAGTGTTTTTGGAGAAAATGAATTACTTAGCTTGAATTAAAGAAGAGACAGAGTATTTATATCTAGCTGACAAAAATACAACTATATTGCAATAAACAAAATACTGTAATAATGAGCTGGCAGCAGGTGGTTGTAACATTTCCGTAATTAGTGGAGTTAATTACGTCTGACGTGGCATCTCCATGAGGTATCTCAACACATATGATCTAGACTACCCTATGTTCCTATTATCTTTTGTATTACAATTTACAATGTATAATGAACACATTTTAGCATAAAAGAGGTTTAAGGTGCTTCCTTTACGTATTCGTATTATAGCTTTGGATTTACTGTAAATTTCTTTCTAATCCTAGTAGTCTTGTCAAAGAAGCTTTTCAATGATAATGAATACTGCCATTTTCATTATAACTTATATCATTGTCTTCTTTAAAATTTCCATGATAATTGTATTTTTTTGCAGTTTGGCACATGTTATTCTTGGATCTTTTATTGCCTATCTATCTCATATTAATGCAATTTATAAACCCTTCCGATAAGCAGTTCACGAAAATTTTATAGTTTTGGTGTTTTCTTAGGCATGTTGCTCCGAAAGTTCTCTGGAGGCTTACCAGACAGATTGAAGTTTTCCTCAGCAATTTGTCGCGGATATTGTGCAGTTGCAGCTAGTAATACAGGTTTATCAAATGGTAGTGATGGACTTCAACTTACCCTTCTTGGTCCACCAGAGTTATACCAGTCTCCCTTCACCACTGCGAAAAAGGAGGATAATGTTACCTCAGGTGTTTTTGCTAGTCCTACTACTGCTGATTCTAGTACTGGAGATCCCTTCATGGACTTGATGCTTTCGAGTTACAACAGATATGAGGAACCAGTAATGGGACGCACTGAAAATTATTACCCTACTTACATGTCTTCAGGGAATCCATGCCTCGATTTCTTCTTCCATGTGGTACCTGACACGCCGGCTGAACAGGTGGTCCAAAGGCTGAAGCAAGCATGGGAACAGGATCCGTGCACGGCTCTGAAGCTTGTCTGCAACCTGAGGGGTATTAGAGGGACTGGTAAATCAGACAGGGAAGGCTTTTATACTTCCGCTTTGTGGTTACAGGAAAATCATCCCAAGACTCTAGCAGGCAATGCTGGATCAGTTGCAGGATTTGGATACTTTAAAGACCTTCTAGAAATCCTGTACCGGCTTCTTGAGGGTCCCACAGTTCGCAAAGATGAAATAGATCTGCTAAAGAAGAGACGCCGTCATGGTGGTAGTCAGTGGTGGTTAAAGCATGGTGGAGCATATTTGGAGGAGGAGGGAAAGAAAGGCTTGAAGCCTAAGCCTAAGTCAACTGAAGAGAAGAGACTAACAGCTGCAAAAAAGGGTATAGAGAGGTACAACAATGATCCTACCTATCGATTTTTGCATAATCACGTCTCAGAACTCTTTGCTAAGCACCTTCAATCTGATTTAGAGAAGATAAGGTCAGGAACTTATGATGACCTTAGCTTAGCAGCAAAATGGTGCCCTTCATTGTACTCGAGGTTTGACAACTATACTCTGCTTTGTGAGAGCATAGCTAGGAGGCTATTTCCTCAAGATCAATACCCTGAATATGAAGGGATTGAAGATGCTCATTATGCTTATCGTGTTAGGGACTGTTTAAGGAAAGAGGTACTAGTTCCATTGCGCAAATCATTAAAGTTGCCTGAGGTCTATATGTGTGCTAGAGAATGGAATTACATCGTTTACTCACGAGTTGCCTCGATTGCTATGAAGAACTATGCTCAACTGTTCTATAAGAATGATGCAGAGCGGCTTACAAAGTACCTAGAACGTGTTGTGCAAGGGAAGTCTAAGATAGCAGCAGGAGCTTTACTCCCTCATCAAATTGTAAAGAAGGTTAAGGATCCCAAAAACAAAAAAGATCCCATGACAAGGTAAGCAAATTTTGTGAACTAATTAACTAAAACAAAAATTTATACATTGGAACTTTGATAACTGATGGTCTACTAATTAAGTAATTGATAACATTCATAATAATGAATCTTACAAATTAAATTTGATTTTTGGTGATTGAAGTCAATTTTAAACAGGATTGTTTCGGAGCTCCAATGGAAGAGAATGGTAGAGGATCTCTCCAACATTGGGAAGCTGAAGAACTGCCTTGCCATATGTGATGTATCTGGGAGCATGTATGGCTTGCCCTTAGAAGTGAGTGTCGCTCTCGGGTTGTTAGTCTCTGAGTTGAGTGAGGAGCCTTGGAAAGGAAAGCTGATAACCTTTAGTAGGTTCCCTCAGTTGCAAGTCATCCAAGGTGAAGATCTTCGATCTAAAATCAATTCAATAGAACAATTGCATTGGGAAATGAACACGAATTTCCAAAGGGTGTTTGATAAAATCCTTGAGGTTGCAGTGGAGGGAAAGCTTACAGAAGATGAGATGATCAAGCGACTTTTCGTGTTCAGTGACATGGAATTTGATGGAGGCATCAGCTAATGATTGGGAAACTGACTACCAGGCAATTGTCAGGAAGTTCAATGAGAAGGGGTTCTCAAAGGTTCCTGAAATAGTCTTCTGGAATTTGAGGAATTCTGGTGCTACTCCTGTCCTGAGCAACCAGAAAGGGGTGGCCTTGGTTAGTGGGTTCTCAAAGAATTTGCTAAAGATGTTTCTTGATGATAGCTTTTTGGAACCTGAGAAGCCAATAGAGGCTGAGGTTCCAGAGTCTGAGAAGATAATGGCTGTGGAGACTACGGAGGCTGAGGTGTTGGACCCTGTGAAGACAATGGAGGCTGCCATCTCAGGCGAGGAGTACGAGAAACTAGTGGTGCTGGACTAGAACATTTCTTTGCCAGATAAATAAGGTTTAGGAAGTGGATTAATTTCAGAAATTGACTGGCATTTTGGCATGTCAAATAATGACTTGAACATGTTTTACTGTAATGTTAAAGCATGCATTGTTTGTTAAAAAGAATTATTTTGTTTACCTATGTCATCTTCAGAGCCCTCGAGGATGGGAAAACAGATCTGAATGAAGATGTCAATGGAGTTCCAAAATACAATGTCGAATTTTTAAAGTTATTCTCAATTTCAATTGGGTTTGTTCTTAACGACGTTAATGGTGCCGTTATATGGCCCACAGTTACGGTACCAATCCGTCCTTAAAGACGAAAAGTACAAAATATTATAAAATTAATACTCAGTACGCTGTGGGGCCCACATAAGCTCCTGATTTACAAAATTGGCTGATTGCCTGGGTTTGCCTCATTTCTATTGTGAATACACTGAAGATTGTTCCGTAATACAACACCTGTATGAATTCAACCTTACCGATTTCTTTGTTCTGATACAAGAAAACACCTTATTCATGAAGTATAAAAAAAAAAAAAAAAAAAAAACTGATTACTCATGCATAATAGTATGATACTATCAATTCAATTGATGGTTAAATAAGTACACCATGAATCTTAGTGTTGCAACGATCAACCAATGTCTCCCCAATTAATCAGACTAAGTACACTCAATTAGTATTATATAGTACAAGCGAAGAGACGCAAACCATACATGCGTGTACAATATAAGTATTATATCAAGTTGGATTCTTGTTTTATTTCATAATTTGATCATCTTCAAATAAAAAATACTAGATATAAGCCCGTGTGATGCACGATTTTTAAATATTTCATTTTGTATATTTTTTTTATTTTCTATTCTATTATTTTAACATTAATTTAAGATAAAATATTTTGTTAAGTTTTAAATTATTCTTATTCAAATTTTACGTATATAGAACTTGAATTTATAAATTGAAATAAATATCACCAACTTTCATATGTGGCTGGCCTCACGGTGTGGCCAACCACAATAATTTTTTTTTATTCAATGAACATCACGTTCTCTCTCCTCTCTCTATCCTCTTTTCTCCTGTTCTTCGATTAATTTTCCAGATCCTTTCAACAAAATTAATTCTCCAGATTTTCTTTTTTTTTTTTTTAGTTTTAGTTTTCCATCTTCTACTGTTCTTCAATGAATTCCCCAATTTCCAGACTCTCCTCTCCTCTTCTGTTCTTCAAAATTCCCCAATTTCCAGATTTTATTTTTTAGGGTTCGTAGCTTGGAGGTGCAGAAGAATAGGAGGAAGAAGATGAAGTGATAATGGCAATCTTGTTAACGCTGTAGATCCTTCAACTCCAAATTCGTCATCTTGCTCGATTTTTGTAATTATGAAGTTATAATGGTATCATTTTCTTTGTTGTATTTACAAGCATCACTGTAATGTTGAGGATGACATAGGTGCTAGTGTTTGTTTGTGTAAATTATGCTCATAATTTGTTGATTATTGCTCGAGTTTTCAGGTTTTGAATTGAAATTGAAATATATATTGAGTTGATTAGGGTTCCTTCGGGGTTACTTCATACTTTAGGGGTTACTTCGGGGTTTACTTTAAGGATTACTTCGGGGTTCACTAGAGGGGTTACTTCAAGGGTTACTTAGGGGTTACTTTGAGGGTTACTAGACAGAGGTTACTTCGAGGGTTACTAGAAGGGTTACTTCGGGGGTTACTAGACAGGGGTTACTTTAAGGGTTACTAGAGGGCGGGGTTACTTCGAGGGGTTACTTCAGAGATTACTTCGAGGGGTTACTTCAGAGATTACTTCGAGGGGTTACTTCGGCTGGCCACACCAGAAACGCACTGAATAAATATTATCTCATTTATCGGATAGTTAGATAAAATCATTAAATCAAAATATATTTTTTAATTTCTAATTATTTGTTAAAATAATATAAATCCTAATGTAAAAGATAATTTTTGTTTATTTTCATAATTTAAATCTTAAATTACTATTTTTTTGTTTTCAATTCTCAAATTTCATTTGTTAATTTTTTCTTAAATAGCGATGAAAATTTAAATTCTAAATTAATATATAAATTTAATTTTTCATTGGTCGAAATATTACTTTTGCTTATGTGGCGTGCGATGCACGAATTTTTATATACATTTTGTATATAAATATATTTTTTGGTGATCTCTTAATTTTTTTTCTTTCATTATAAGTTTTAAAATTTTGTATGAAAATATCATATCATCAGATATTTACATAAAACCATTAACATCAAATAATAATTTATATTTTTTAAATATTAAAATATAATTTTAGTTTTTTAAATAATATAAATCCTTATATCTAAAGATAATTGTTAGTTTTGTAACAAATAAAAATGATAAAATATAGTATTCTTAAATAATTAAAATCTTAATAAATTACTATTCGTCGTTTTTACCTACGTGGAAAAAATTTAAAATTTTATTCGTCACTTTTGTTTAGGTGGCGAGCGGTTTTTTTAATTCTAAAATAAAATAGATATCTGATTTTTAATTGGTCGAAAATATACCTTTTCTTATGTGGAGCTCCTAATGCTCTCCAAAAATGCCTACTTTATTTATATATATATTAGATTATTGGGTTACAAAATTGTTGAAAAAAAATGTTAATGAAAAAAAAAGTTAATTTTTTTTTAAAAAAAATGGTAGTTTTTTTTAAAAAAAAAGAATGGTAATTTTTTTTTAAGATGGTAATAAAAAAAAATATTGAAATAGTGTATTTGGAATTGAAGAAGGGTATTTTGGGAAAAGTCAAATTTATCAACCAAGATGCCCTTTCTCTTTGTATAGTACTATAGATATACTCCTGGATCATGTACTCCATACTAATTATGTCTGAATTATTTTGCCTAAACCTTATGCACCAACTTATGTGGCTGGCCACACGGTGTGGCCAACCACAATAATTTTTTTTAATTCAACAAACATCATGTTCTCTCTCCTCTCTCTATCCTCTTTTCTCCTATTCTTCGATTAATTCTCCAGATCCTTTCAACAAAATTAATTCTCCAGATTTTTTTTTTAGTTTTTGTTTTCCATCTTCTACTGTTCTTCAATGAATTCCCCAATTTCCAGATTCTCCTCTCCTCTTCTCTTCTGTTCTTCAAAATTCCCCAATATCCAGATTTTGTATTTTAGGGCTCGTAGCTTGGAGGTGCAGAAGAATAGGAGGAAGAAAATGAAGTGATAATGGCAATCTTGTTAACGATGTAGATCCTTCAACTCCAAATTCGTCATCTTGCTCGAGTTTTTGTAATTATGAAGTTATAATGGTATCATTTTCTTTGTTGTATTTACAAGCATCATATCACTGTAATGTTGAGGATGACGTAGGTGCTAGTGTTTGTTTGTGTAAATTATGCTCATAATTTGTCGATTATTGCTCGAGTTTTTGGGTTTTGAATTGAAATTGAAATATATATTGAGTTGATTAGGGGTTATTAGCCAGGGGTTACTTCAAGGGTTATTAGAGGAGTTATTTCAAAGGTTACTTTAGGGGGTTATTTCGGGGGTTACTAGACAGGGATTACTTTAAGGATTACTTTTGGGGTCACTAGAGGGGTTACTTAAGGGTTACTTTGAGGGTTACTAGACAAAGGTTCCTTCAAGGGTTACTAGAAGGGTTACTTCGGGGGTTACTAGACAGGGGTTACTAATGTGGCACCTTGCCACACCGTGCGGCTGGCCACACCAGAAACGCACTGAACCTTATGTTATTGGAAAAATTGACAAGAATAATCTCAACTTTGCTCGATTTACCCAAAATAATCCAAACTTTTGATTATTTTTTAATAATCTAAACTTTAATACGAATTTACTTCTAATGGTCCCGATGACCAGTAACCTGATAAATAGGTAATGTTTTTTCTAAAAAAAAAAGTTAAATGAACACGTGTCATTATATGATTGGTCAGAAATAATTTTAATTTATATTATTGATTTAATTGTTTAATTAATTAACTTACAATTTTTTAAAAAAAAAATAACACCACCAATGCAACAACCGTTGTCCCATTCGAGCTTGACCCCCACCTCCGACGGTCGGTGGTTTGCTGACTTCCTGACTGGCTGCGCCCATCACGCTGGCTCATTTCCCCCCTCCCCCGCCTGCGAAGCTCACCCCACTTCTCTCCCCTTCTCATTGGTTTTCTGGGTTGTTTAAGGCAAGGCATCTAGTTGGGGTTTTTGGATAAATTTGAGTCTTATATAAGGTCGTTTTGGGGTTATGCGGTGCATCGGGGAGGGGGAAATGGGAGGAGGTTGACGCGTCGGGGTAGGGGAATTTGGGAAATACAGGTTGTTCGTGGGAAGGGGAAAGGGGTAAGGTGGCCGAGCTTCGCCGGCGGGGGTGGTGTTGTTTGCGCCGGAGGGGAGTGGCCAGTCGCCGGCAACCGAGATGGGGGGTCAGGCGTTGGTGGGCATGGTGGCTGGAGTTTTTTTTTTTTTTTTTTTTTCAAATTTTTTTTTGACCAATTACGTCTTGACACGTGTTAGGTCACTTGTTATAACAAGTTTTATAACCGGTTGAGACCATTAGAGCATCTCCAATGGCAAGCTACAATGCTTTGTAGCTTGCTTTTCCACATCAATTTCTAAGTTACAACACTTTTTAAGCAACAAATTGTTCCAATGGTAAGGCATAACATATCGTAGTTTGCAAAAATAAAAAAAACTAAAATTAATAGATAATTATACACATGTTACAATATGAGTGGAGATTATTTGTCTCTTTTTCAATCAAGCATGTAGCTTGGTTGGGATACAGTTGCTTGCACGTTGCTCAATTTTTGGTTCTCCAATGGTAAGCATGTAGCTAGGAACTTTATTTAAATTGCAAGCAAGTCCTTATAATTGAACCATTGGAGTTACTCTTAGTAGCAAATTCAAACTAAAGTTCGGATTATTAAAAAATAATCAAAAGTTGGGATTATTCTAAGTGAATCGAGCAAAGTTGAGATTATTCATGTCAATTTTTCCTATGTTATTTTGTTTAAATCTTGTGTTATTTTGCTAAAATAGTACAAGTATGTATAAAAAAAACATGCACTAATAAAATAATAGGAAGTTCATATCAAAATTACATGAATTTTATAGAATTGAAGTACTATAAAATAATCGATGTTGAATATTAAAAAAAATAAAAAATATACAAGTATAAAATAACATGTACTTATTTCAAAATAACATATATTTTGCATGGTACTCCCGGAGTAACATAGAAATTGCGAAGAAAGACGAGCAACTAACCAATAACCTCTGAATCGATCAGTTGAGTAGATGGCCGGCGACTTCAATGAAACTGAGATGAGACATTCCTGTAGCATGGTAGATTGAATGTCTGATAACCATTTTGGTGACTTTCCAAATGATCTTACGTTTTATGCCTTTTCTCTTTGGTTTAACTGCTACTACTCCGTTGTTTCGGGTGCTACTGTTCTGAGTCATGAAGCTCATGATGGATCACAAGTACAATTGTTTCTTTTTTTCCTGAATTTTATGTTTGCAAATTGCACATTATTGAACAAATTAGAGACCATTTTGTGCAAAATATGGAAATAAACAGTTTTGTCATATCCAAGCATATAATCAATAATAAAATGACTAATTTGGTACTCTATCAAGGGTAATGTGAAGAAAAATCAGAAAATGGTAATAAAAATTTCTTAAATGAAAGTAATGACATGCATTTATGCATAATGTGAAGAAAATAATACGGAGTGATATTTAAAAAAAAATAAAAATACAAGTATTAATTACCGCAATGAATGAAGGTTAAAGCCTTAAAGGGCCTTAAGTGTTTTTCTTCTTCTTAGTTTCTTGATTAATTATATGATCTTCCAATATTCATGCAATACATTATACATATATATATGGAGGATGAAATTATAATATAGACTTTTCTTCATGGAATTTTATTCATGGATGAAATTATAATATAGACTTTTCTTCATGGAATTTTATTTATAATTTTTGTTTTTTGTAATTAATATTGGCAATTTGAGGTTTGTTCATTACTGGTTAGTTGGACTATTATGGACTTGTTTCTCTCCGTGTGTGACCATGATGATAATGAATCTTGGTAGAATAAGTCATTTTATACAATAAACTAAGTATAATGAAATTGATTCACTTATTCACTTGGCGATTCTCATAAAAATATATTAGTACTAAAAACATAGTCATATTATACATTGTTAGTTTCATCTCATTATATAGTTTTATAATATGAAAAATTATATTTTTATAAGTTAACAAGTGTATACAAATAGATTAATGGTTAAAATTACAACTTCAAATCGTTCTAAATGAAAAGATACAAACATTATATTACACCGTATGAAATAGTGGAAATAATTTATTTTTTGTATATTACGTACTTTAACATTAATTACTCAATTTAAATTTAGTTTACACATTTTCACTTACATATTATACTTTTTAAAAACTCTACCTTATAGTATTCGTGATATGTGTCAATTGAAACAGAGCTCATATTGAGGTTTTCATGAAATATGAGACAAACAATTTAAAAACTTTTCTTTTCATTTGTTACAATTTCTACAAGTATATGTAAAGGATTTGATCAAATCATATTTATTGATATTGTTTATAGTTAGCAATCCCTTGATTTACTCTTTAGATTGATAGTCAAAGATATCCCTTATTCTTAGCTAATGTAACTAGACAAGTACTCTAATGTATCTAGTCGTATTATATTGCTTACTCATGTACTATATATACTCATGGAATCACATCAATATAATTAAGCTTTCCAACATTCTCTTTCTCATAACTCTATCAGTATATTTCCAACATTCTCTTTCTCATAACTCTATCAGTATATATTATTTCCGAAAATAATAAGTGATCCTGGGTACTTTGATTTGAGACGTTAGTTTATTAGCGTACAGTGACCGGGTCAATAAGACTATTAGGTTGTTCTTAAGTGTGGCAGACCCGAATTGGAAAGATATGCATGGGTCAATTTTATTGGACACTTGATGACTTGGGCATGCATGTACAACAAATTTGGAAAGACATGAATATATGATGCTGTTTGCTTGATGACCAAGAGAGGTAATGTTGTGATCTAGCGGAAGGTCGTAATGTAACTTCTCTTCTTATAAAACCCCAAATGCAAACATTTATTTCAAGGGGGTTTAGGATATTCATTGCATGTTACTTTAAGTTGTAAATGGGCTACATTCATTTTTAATTGACATGGTGAAAGCAATGCAAAAGAAATTTGACAAGTATTGGTCAGATTATCATACTTTAATTTATTGTCTTGTGCATGTGTTTTGGATCCTCATTACAAGTTGAAATTTGTTGAATATTCTTTCATTTTGGTTGAATATGCTAATTTTGGTTCTTGGATGAGTAGTCAACAACATAATGTGGAGAATAAAACTCAACTTGATCTCTATTTGGAAGAAAAGAATGTTGATTTTAATTCCAAAATTGATGTGTTGGGTTGGTGGAAAAATAATTTAATAGGGCACATCGACATCCACAACTTGCGACATTGGCCATTCCTATTTCTTCCGCTCCTTTCAAGTCGGCTTTTAGTATGGGTAAGAAGCTAATTAATACATGGAGAGTTTCACTTACTTCCATGACAATCAGGACCGTATCTGGGCCGGGGCACCCGCCCAAGGCCCCAAAATCTGAAAATCAAATTTGTTAAAAAAAATAATAATTAAAATTAAAATATTACGAATAACAAGTAAGCGGCATTTCTTTGTAAGTTAATCAATCATCCCCTTAATAACTCCTCACATTAAATCATTAATATTCCTCCTTGAAATTAACTCCTTCATTTTGGGAAGTTAAATTTGACAAATTAATCCCATAATCTAACCAATTCATCCATATAATCTTCTATTTTCATCCATGAAACCAATTATTTGTATCATTACGTATATTTTTCTGATTTTTCATCTTCCTTCCCAAATTAATGCTAAAATGATGATTTCCCCCATGAAAGTTCTTCTTTGCAATCAATTTTCAACGGTATTAAATTAAAATCTATGAATTTTCCTATAAATTACACTATTTTAATTGTTCTTCACATATCAATCTACTTAATCTATTTTTTCTATTTGTTTCTATTAATTTTTCACCATTATTATGGATTTTGGCTTCGATTAACTCAGAAACGGTACGAAGATGCTATTAAGTCATTAGTAAGTTTTGTACTTTAATTTTTCCTAGAAATTACTATACAATTGATTTATTTATTTTAATGTATAGATTATTCGATTTTACAAGAGAAGTTCTGAAATACTCATATTAATTTTATGTCATACGAATTTTATTTTCTGATTTATGAATAGTATGTCAAATTTATATTTTTCCCAGCTCATTCTAATTTATAATTTAGTTTGAATTATGATATTTCATATTTGATTAATGAAGCAATCCAATATTTGATCGACAATAACAGGCTTCCAATACCTCTAGTCGGCAAGAACACCAAGTGATGATAAGCCAAGGGACAAGAGGCAAGCTTCAACGACAAGATTTTATGATTTTTTTTTTCTATTTTTTATTTACCTTTTCCCTAATAAGTCTAGCATAGACACCTTTTTATTCTCCTTAGATTTATTTTGTAGGATCATTATTTCTTTTCCTTTAATAAAATGAGCATTTATTTCCTTACATATGATCATTGCAAAAAAAAAAAAAAAAAAAAAAATACCATGTCAAACTAAGCACAAGGTATACCAATGATTTGAGGCACCCCTTGTAGCCACATTAGATCAACTTTCACCCTTCAAATAAATATGCAATCCTTTCTTGATAAACCACTTTGAGCCTCATCTAATGATTGACCCTTCATTTTTCAACCCATGTCTACCTAACTTTGGAATGGGATGGTGTGCAACTTTTGCAATTTTTAATTTCATAAAAAGCTTGAGTGACTTCAAAAGATTAAAATAGCAAAAAAAATAAGCAAAAAAATAAATAAAAGTGTACAAAAGGGCAAGTGTTCCAATGTCTTTGACATGAACATGTCCTTGATATGAACACGTCTCAGATTGCATCTCTTATCGAGTGCTCGGTACCGTGGCTGAGAATCATGAATTCCAAGTGAGTGATAGATCGCATGATCGGGATTGCCCACACTTATCAAAAAAGGTTCAAATAAAAAAAATGCAAAAGCAAAAAAAAAAAAGAGCAAAAAAAAAAAAAAAAAAAAGGAGCTCGAAAGTGAGAAAACTCAAGCATAACAATATAAAGATTTCAAAAACAAGGTTGCACACCTTGGGGGCTTATCCGGGGTCTTGAGCCTTTTATCCCTTTCTTCTTCAACCTTTAGCCTAACCACGACCTTTTTGAGGTATACACACACTTGTGCGAGGTTCGGCTAGAGCTAGTTCGGCCTGATTCCTAACGGTTACGTTGGCAACCTCACATCGAGGTGCAACCGTAATAAACATGCATTCATATTCACATTCACATTCACACATTATGGTCATATCAAGGGATCCCCTATGCTTATTCCTATTTACTTAGAGCTAGACTTGGGGGCTTGATCCTTATATCATTAGCTTACCCAGCCTAAGAGTCACCATTATTTGACTCTTTTCAATATATTTTCCACACCTAGCCCTTGCAGCTTAACCTTATGTCACCATCACACACATCACAGATACATGACCAAATATACTTTCCCTTAGGAACCCTTTGTCATGAAATCTTAACATAACGCTGAAGCATGCCTTGTCATGTCAAAATCGCTCATCAATCATCATTGCATCACAAAGTATGAAGTACTTAGCCTCCGCGCCTAAGTTACCTAAATACTTTCATTATCGAGTCAACTAGGATAGTATAAGATGTTACAATCCTTGTACTATGAGAGACAACGTTAACGGATTAAGCTCATTTAACATGCACCTTCAAAAGCTTCACTTCTTTCTTTTTCGTGTCTTTCTTTTTCGGGAGAAAGACGGTACCCTCTACAAAAATTATGGAAATATTTTTCTTTTTCGCATTTTAAGTCAAGCACATCACAATACAATGCACACACGGGTCATGAGTCACACATGTCAATTCACCTTGGGTCAACCTCAAGTCATTCAGTCACGTTGAGTCAACCTCAAGTGAGTCAGTCATGTCGAGTCAACCTCGAGTCAATCACATCGAGTCAATTTTAAACCTTGAGTCGTGTCAAGTCAATGATTCAAGAGACATTAAACCTTAGGTCAAATCTAAAATAATTAAAGAGATTAGCAAAGTCCTATAGTCAAAGATAAATTCATGTGCATCCCAGCGGCAGCAAGAGCATAATAGGGAAGACCCGACTCCAGCGCCAGACGACAACATCTAGCGTCTGGCAACAGATTTCAGCGCCTGGCGCTAGATGGCAGCGTATGGTGACATATCCAAATCGCAGCGCCAGGGGCATTGTAGCGGCGACAGAACGCTCAACCTCTCAGAGCAGTTATTTCAACCTCATTCAGCGATTTCGGGTTCCTTGGTACGCCAGTTAGCCCCTATAAGCAATTTAACATGATTAAGTATTCGGCTTGATTACAATCGCAATAAGTGATCGACCTAACGAAAGATCGTCTCACTTAGCTTAAAGCGCCTAAACATTGGCTCATCGCAAGACACCGACATACTAGTTCATAAATAGCAGAGGCACCGACATAATGGTTCACCAGTATCAAAAGCGCCGACGTACTGGCATAGCGGAAGCAAAGTTCAAGCGAGCTTTAAAGATCGACAAGCGTTGGTCTTCAAAAGTTTTCTTCGGAATATTATCGCAACAAACATTCAAGTATCAAAGCTCTATTGTTCAGAGACGCATGGACATTTCTTTCAAGCTCTTTTGTTCAGAGACGCGTGGACT